TCAGGCACAGGGCTCACGCATGTAAACCCAGCACTTTAGGAGGTCAACACAGGCAGATCAATTTTTTTTTTTTTTTCAGGCAGAGCAGTTGAATCCAGGAGTTCAAGACCAGGCTGGGCAACATGGTGAAACCCCATTGCTATGAAAACAAAACAAAACAAAAAAAACAGGCTGGGCACCGTGGCTCACGCCTGTAATCCTAGTACTTTGGGAGGCCGAGGTGGGTGGATCACCTGAGGTCAGGAGTTCAAGACCAGCCTGACCATCATGGTGAAACCCTATCTTTAAAAAAAAAAACAAAAAAACAAGCATTGGGGGGGATGGTGGTGTATGCCTGTAGTCCCAGCTACTCAGGAGACTGAGGTGGAAGGACTGCTTGATCCCGGAAAGTGAAGGTTGCAGTGAGCCGAGATCCTTGGCAACAGAGCAAGACCCTGTCTCAAAAAAAGAAAAAAATTTTTTAGAACAAGGATTTATGCAGGATAAAAAAGTCTATGAATTTTATATGTTGGGAAACTAGCATGTCCCCAGCCTTCAGCTAGTATTTTTCTTTCCTTTCCACATAATCAACAAAATCTTAATCCTGAATCTGTGATTTCTCATACCCACAACAATTTTGCAAAATCTTGGCAGGATCTAGAGAGCAAAATGGGCCCTGAAGACATGTGTATGCACAAAAACCCTTTCATTTCTTATTTTCTTGTCCTTCTAACTTCCCCTCCACTGCCAGGGAAAGTAACTATGAAGCTCAGTCTTTGGGCTATTTTCAGTTTGTTTCAGATAGAGATAAAATATTTTATTATTTATTTTTTTTTTAAGATGGGGTTTCACCATGTTGGTCAGCCTAGTCTTGAACTCCCAACCCCAGGTGATCCACCCGCCTTGGCCTCCAAAGTGCTTGGATTACAGGTGTGAGCCACCACACCCAGCCCGAGATAAAATCTTATTATATCTATTATCTGTCTAGCCTCTATGTCACCGTAACCCACCTCTTCTATGTCATCACTATATGACTGAATTAAAATTGTATCTTCCTTTTTATCCCTAAGTTAGATTAACTTGGTATAGATCCTTCACAGTCCTAGGATCAGGAAAACAGCTTCATCCCTATTCAGTTCACTTAAACCAAGAATATGTTTCTGGTCCCTCTTTTGTATAATTTGGAATTGGTAAACTGATGATCACCCAATTTTTTTCTCTTGATATATCCTGAGACCTTACTGCCTTGAAATATCTAAGGGTAAATCTGGAAAACTACCATGCTGGCCAGATGGAGTTATCTATGGGAAGATGAGGCTTACATAAGACAGACAAAATCCTTGACTCTTTCCCAAAACCATGCCAGAAAAAAGCTATAAATCCACACTAAGGACCACAAAGGGAGAAACTTTCTTAGACACTTATAAAAAGCCCCTGTGAAGACATCCTTGGCAATTTAGAAGTACAGACCTTGATCCTTCCCCTACATCATTCTGGGGAAAGAATAACTAATAACCAAAAAAAAAAAAAAAAAAAAAAAAAAAAAAAAAAAAAAAAATCCTGTCCTGCAAAACTACAGGTTGAAAGGAGGTTAAAGGTTTAGAGCTGAAGAGTTTTCCCGTGGGATTATTAGAAAACAAAATGCTCCCTGGGAAAAAACACTGTCAGCCAATGTTCAGTCAGCTCAGCACTTAGATTATCTTTGGTCTGCAAGTAAATAGACTTGAAATTGCTTTTGAAATCTCTCCAAGACTGTCCATCCCACTCAGTCTTCATGTCACCATCTAGTGAGTTAAGTTGTGAAAAACTCCAGTTTTCCTTAAATGTAGTTATGTAAGGCTAAAATGCAAGGCATTTTCCATGATCACACTTCACCTTGCCACTTATGATACATGTTTGGCAGTAACCCTTTCCTGATGGGATATGCCAAACAGAACCAAAACTTTATGGGGAAAATACCCATCTTGGAAGGCTTAAAAAGGAAAGACCTTGAGAATTAAAACATTGCCTTGGCCGGGCACGGTGGCTCAAGCCTGTAATCCCAGCACTTTGGGAGGCTGAGGCGGGTGGATCACGAGGTCAAGAGATCGAGACCATCCCGGTCAACATGGTGAAACCCCGTCTCTACTAAAATACAAAAATTAGCTGGGCATGGTGGCGCATGCCTGTAATCCCAGCTACTCAGG